CATTCCTTCTGTCATTAGGTGGAAATAAAACTGTGTTCCTGCAAACTACTAGATGAGAGAGCTACTCTACTACATAACATTTGGAGCCTTTTTTGTCCTTGCTTTAATGCTGTCCTAATAATGAAGCCAAACAGTTATTTCCAGTGTAACAGCGTAAATTAGCACTTAGTATAGTAGTAACACTAACATCCTTTTGTCCCTGTCAAGGGAGTGATTTAGTGTTGTGCTGATACCGGTAGTATCTTGTTCCCTTCAAGAAGTTTGCACTTGAAGGTTGCTCTAGATTGTTAAAGTGGTTAAATGACCATTGCTTCAATTACCAAAGCTGTCCAGTTCATAGAATTTCTCTTAAAGCCTATAAACACTAGAAATTTAAGACTAGAATTGTGTGCTGTGATAATTATGTAGCAGATGTGACTTCTGTATCAACTGCTTCTCAAACTAGCCTGCAGTCTCAGTAGTAGCTGACCTCTGTTTTCAATAAGAGGTTTTTAGTGTCTTCAAAAATTTAAAATGATCCTTTGGTTGATACTATGCATGGGTTAGGTCTTATTTGTTTGCCAATTTTGTTAGTCTGTGTCGTCACATCAAACTTAAAGACAAATTATTTTATGTGTTTTCTGGAAAACTTAGTAGAGTTCTGTGTTGCATCACAGAAAAAAGCTTGTGGAATACATTTTTGTCTTAGAGCTATGTCAATGCTAAGTCCATGTTTAAACTTCATGAAGTGGCATGGTTTGTTTTGCTTTATCACAGCCACGTGAAAGAAATTCTGAATAAGAGTCCTGAAATGTTTTAGAGTTACCTATATAATCTGTGAAAAATGTTTATCTCAGAAACGTGTAGGTGCTTGCTTCTGAGACATATTCAGGCAAGTCTGTATTGTTGTAGGAATTAAGTACCATGTAGTCACGTAAACTACTTATATGGTGAATCATACTTGGGTAGTTTTTCTTGACTTTTTTTAAGTCACATCACCTCTACTGATGTCTGACTGTTAAATTTTCTTTGGTACTTCTTTTCACTTATTGCTTCTTCAGAATTCTTCCCATTCTGTTTTCCCTGCAGTTTCAAGATAAGTGTTTTGAAGTAGTGTGTGTTATTTAATATGTTCTGTAGCTCTGTAGTTTGCAGAGCTCACTTAAAAGCTTGCAAGAAGTAGATGTGGCTGTCTCTCACCTAGTGTTTGCATTTGTAGAGACCCATATAACCACAGATACTGAAATGCAGCTTGCCCCCACCACCTTTTAATGTCACAACTGTAGTTGTGACAGCCTTTGACATGTGAGCCTTCCAAACAATTTTTGTTAAAAAAGAAAGCTTTAACAGAAATGTGGATGAATAGGCACTTTAAGCCATTGTAGCATGTAAGGATAATTGAACATGCAATTGCATTCTGAGTATTACTTTAAGTTGTTAATGGCTATAGTTAGGTCTCATTTTGAGTTTGAGGAAATGCGTAAAATCTCAGTCTTCAGCCTCTGCAGTAGTCCAAACTTTGAGGTTTACCTGTCATCACATTTCACTGTGGTAATTGAAGAAAAGCGTGTTCTAAGTGTCAGTCAAAAGTCTCAAAGCTCCATCTTCTACAGTAGTAGAACTTTGTTAAAACTCTTCTCCTACTAATTAATGCTTTTTCTTTTTCAGTAAATGACCGTACTTCAGACGAAAAATGGATAAGAGGTATGACTTCAAAATACTTTAAAGGCAAACATCTAGTAGTCTGTGGTCACTGTGATGACACAGGTCTAACGTTGGTTTATGCAAGAACCATGGTACTTGTGCTGATACAGAGCTCGGTGCGAGAGTTTTAACTAAGAAAGACTTAAATATTTACAGATGGCTGTTGTATTTTACTACTGAGTTAGTAACTTGTGACTTACATGAAATACCTGATGAGTATGAAGACTGAAATAACAAATCAAGCAGTTCAGATTTACTGTTGCTAAAACTATTCATTACGTAGACATGTTAAACAAGGTTTATGTTTTCCTTCTGTAGACGTGCTAAGGAGAAGATAGTACACCTTGGTTTTTATTATCCTAACTAGACTGAAGCAGCGCAATTTCTATTTCCATGTGTTGTCTGATCTACTCGAGAGGTGGCGTCCCTGGTGACAGGGAGGCTGGATTAAAATGATCTCTACGGTCCCTTCCAGCCTAGGCCATTCTATGATTCTGTGATTCTATTTTGAAAACATGTCTGTTATATTTCTCACATTTCATGAAAACTCCTTATAAACAAACCTGATACTCTTTTAAACAGTCCTAGACTCTATCTTTGCTGCAGAAACACAAGTGAGCTAGATGTGCTGTGGGCAGTAACTTGTAGAGACAAAATTCTGGTTTTACTACAAGTGGTCTGAATGGCTGGGTTTAAAGCAGCTTTAACAGTCTGACTGGGGGCTGGTGTAGTGAGTAGAATGTATGAAATAGGAAGCTGGCAAAGCAATTGTAGCTTGTTGAGCTTTTCTCAGAAATGCTGTAATCTAGTCTCGTTTATTCCCGTGACAGTACCGTGAGATTTTTTGAACCTTATATTCTTCTAGGGCAGTATGATTCACCTAACTTTGGGAACCAGTCTTTCAGGCTCTACAAAGCTATGAGTGTATAATTTTTTTAATCATGTGGCACTGGTCTTTCTTTTCCTTTACAGACAACATTGTTCTATGAAGAAGTATGGAAAGAATTATTCTGGAAAGAAGCTGCTCGTCTGGCTTTAACATCAAATAAACTATGTCAGTAAAATGCTGGTTTGCCCTTTTTAGTTTTGATTTGAAACCCACCATTTTGTGAAGCTTGATAAATTCAAGATAGGTGCACTGTTTGCACTATATTAAAATCTTTTCGTAATTAAACAAGTTTGTTTTGAGTTTCAATTTGAAGTGAATCAGAGCTTTCTACAGGTAATAGTATAACCTAATTCCAGGCAGGCAGCATTAGTTCATAGAGGCAAGTACAGTTTTGCCATCTGATGTTCAGACTGTGGTTTGGAAAGTCCTTTTAAGATGTCCTTATTGGACTGCCTGTATTAAATAAACCAGCTGAATGTAGCTGAAGGGACACCAAAACAAGTAGAGACATTAAGCTGCATATTTACACAGTTAGTATTTTTTGCTAATGAAGGAATCGGACATGATGTGTGTTTTCTTCCTGAGTTGGCAGGACAGGCTCCGGGGTCTGCCTGTACTCTGCAGACTGTGTAGCATACCCCTGATTTTTCATCTAGTAGTGTCCAAGAAGTCATTTAAGATTGGATTAGTGGCTGGATGAAGCATGCTCTGTGCTAGAAGTTGACATTCTGTTGCAGGTGTTCAGACTAGCAATCAAAATAGAAGTTTTGTATTTCAAATAGGGCCGAAACAGACTGGGTGGTGTTAGCAGCTGTGCTGATAGAGGTCCTGGCTTGGTTATTATCAAGTACAGTAAGTTTAAATCTCAGTATATTTGTACTGAGGCAGCATATTGTTACACAGGTAAAGCATTGTTGTGAATAAAAGATTTTGTTAGACTACTTTGGTAGCAGCATTTTAGGATCTATTGATATTTTGGTATAGATCACAAAAATCAGCATTTAATCAGTAGCCAATTTGACAGAATGATTCAATGGAATTAGTTTCGATCAAAATTGTCATAAAGATTTGAAAACAGCAAGGGTCACCCAAAACTTACAGAACGCTTACACATGCACAGTTTAAATCAAATCACACACAGTGCAGACTAACGGTTACAGATCTCTGGATACACTTTACAGTTAGCTGTGCTGGCAGTACTGCGTTGCAGAATTAAGACTTTCATCCTTGAGCTCTTTTCTAAACAAGTACATAACTCCTGCTTGCTAATTATGAAAAGAGACCCTGACCAGCTGAATATAGCTCATGTTGGGAGTTTGTCCGTGAGAATGAACAGATGAGAGGCTTCTTGCACACAAGATGTGCCTGGGAGTGAATGGGAGAGTATGATCAAAGTAGACCTGGGAAAGTCTGTTCTTCCTGTGTGATAAGAGTGTGATTGGAGGAGTACACGAGCTATAACAACCCTGGCTGCACAGCCTGGTCTCTTGTTTGTAATTCA